GGCGCGCTGTCGCTGCGGGCGATGGGGTTGCTGCCCCTGCTGAGGCCGCTGCTGCTGTTGCTGCTGCCGTTGCTGCTGCTGCTCCGGCTGCTGCTGCTGCTGCCATCCCGGCTGCTGCTGCTGCTGCTGCTCCGGCTGCTGCTGCTGCTGCTGCTGCTGCTGCTCCGGCTGCTGCTGCTGCTGCCCCGGCTGCTGCTGCTGCTGCTGCCCCGGCTGCTGCTGCTGCTGCCCCGGCTGCTGCTGCTGCTGCGGAAGGGCGGGAGAGTGATGGGAGGAGGGAGGGGAGGGAGGGGGTGCAGCTGAGTGGGCGGGGGAGGCGGGTGCAGCGGGGTCGTAGACGTCGGCAGAGGAGGGAGGCGGGAGTGGAGCGGCGACAGGTGGGAGGAGGGGAGCGGGGGGGAGGAGAGGCGGGAGGACAGTGTCGGTCCAGGCGAGAGGGCGAGTAGGAGGAGGGAGAGGATCAGGGGGAGGAGTGGAGTAATAGGGGACGGACTCGTCGAAGACGACGTCGCTGCTGCGGATGAGGCGATTGGTAGGAGGGTGGAGGAAGAGGTAGCCTGGGGAGTCGCGGTTGTGCCCAAGGTAGACACATTCCAGGGCACGGGGAGCAAGTTTGCCAGCGGCGCGGGAGCGATCGGCGGGTGGAATGAGAACGTAGGCCTTGCATCCCCAAACTCGAAGGCCGGCAGCGTCAGGTTTGGTGTTGGACCAAAGCTCTGTGGGGGAGGAGGAAGGGTGCTGAGGATGGGAGCGGAGATTAAGGAGAAGGGCGGCGTGGAGAAGGGCATAGCTCCAGAGAAAAGGCGGGGTGGAGGCATGAGCAATGAGACAGCGAGCTATCTTGGTGATCTCACGAATGCGGCTCTCGGCAATGCCGTTCTGCTGAGGGGAATGGGGAAGAGTGGGGAGGAGGGAAGCGGGGGTAAGACGGGAGGAAGGCTGCGGAGGAGGCGGGAGGTGACTGTGGTGCGAAGGGCGGTGAAGTTGGGATGGCCGAGTCTGTGGTGTAAGAGAACGGCAGGGTGCGAGAGGGTAGTGGAGGAGGAGGGAGATGGGGTGATGGAGGGGACGGGAGGGGAGGAGGAGGACGGCGGGGAGGGAGAGGATACCTGAGGGGGAGGGGAGGGGGGAAGTAAAGGAAGGGGGGGTGGACCGGTGGAAGTACCAGCACGGGTGGTGACGTGGCAGTAGGATGGGCGAGGTTTGCGGAGTGTGTAGAGGCGAGTACGAGGGCAGAGTGGGATGCGGAGGAGGAAGCGGCCACAGGAAGTCTGGTAGAGGTCACAGTAATTGGCATAACCAGGGTAGATGGCAGTGATACCAACACCTTGGAGCTCACGGTGGGAGATGAGGTTGTTGCGGAGAGTGGGGATGTGGAGGCCTGTGACTTTACCGGAGGGGAAGACAGTGCAGGGGAGGGTGGAGAGATGAGTGCAAGGGATGGAAAAACTGGAATCAGCTCCATGAACCTGAGTGGGAAGTGGAAGGGGGGTGAGAGTACCTACGTCCTTTAGTGCGGTTTCAGTGGCCCCACTATCAAGGACGAAGTCCAGGGTGGGGGAAGAAGGAGGAGGAGGTGACACGGGGTACTGGAAAGAAGTTTCATTGATAGCAGAGGGATACATGGAAGCGACGGATGGTGCAATACTGACATTACCGAGGAAACTGCCCGAAGTGTCGGGGACACTGGGGGGGGCAGAGGGGAGGGAACCCCAGGGAGGGGGGGGAGCAAGGGAGGCATGGGCGGCCGTAGCCGCCGTGCCGAAGGTCAGTGGCTGCTGCTGCCAGTACGGGGGAAGGAACTGCTGCTGCTGCTGCGGCGGCGGTTGGAAGAAATGCGGCGGCGGCGGCTGCTGCGGCTGGAGAAACTGCGGCTGCTGCTGCTGCTGCTGCTGGAAGTACTGATGCTGCTGCTGCTGGTGCTGCTGGAATTGCTGCAGCTGGGAAGGCTGGGAGGGGCTAACCAGGCGGAGGTGAGCAGGAAGGAAAGATGGGAGGGTTTGAACATCCACCAGGGAGGGGCGAGGGGTGACAGTGTTCCAGCGAGGAGGGGTGCCAGTGTTACCTCGGTCAAACCAGGCGTCGTCGAGCGCCTTGAAGCACGTGCTGGGGGGATGGTTGGTTTGGCCGCAAGGGGTACCAGCATGGGGACCATGGCGGCGCACATACGTGCATGGGGGGAGAGTGCCAGGGCGAGCGCCTCGAGTCACAGCACCACTAGCACCGGACGGTCCTCCAGCACCACCACCACCGCCACCACGGCCACTACGGCTACCACCACCACCACCACTACCGCCACGACCTCCACCACCACCACCCGCTCCACGGCCTCCACCGCCACCGCTGCGACCACCCTGGTTGCGCGGCTGCGTAGCATTGAGGGAGCTGGAGGAGGAGGGCTGAGGGGTGGTGAGGTTGACAACGGGGGTGCGGAGCTTGACCTCCGTGTCGATGATCCATTGGACCACGTCGTTGAGGCCGGCCATGGCGTTCGCTTCAGTGAAGGCATGGAGGCGGGACTCGTAGTCCGGGGTGAGGTTGTAGAGGAGGCGGTGGATTTGCAGTGGCTCGGGGAGGGCAGCTTGGCGTGCAGCAAGGCGGTCAGCGACCTCCTGCATGCGCCCCACGTAGTCAACTGCGCCGTCACAGGTAGCGAGGGTGATGGAGAAGTACTCCTGGAACAGGGCGCCGACAGAGCTGATGTCGCGGCGCTCGAACATTGCCTGGAGCTCGGCCCAGATGAGGGAGGCGCGCATCTCCCGAGCCTGGAAACGGCGCATGAGGGTATCAGGGAGTGCGCCGAGGAGGATGGTGCAGGCGCGGTTGTCAGCAGCGGCCCATGCAATACTCTTGGGGAGGTAGTCTGCCATGGCCGTGTTGTATCATCGAGGAGGGCCAGGCGGTTGGCGCGTTCCGCTACTGCGAAGTCGTGATGGTGGACTGCGACCTCGTGCTCTGCCTTGCGGATGAGGTACTCGCGGCGGTCATGGAGGAATGTGGCGTCGGCGGCACTCTGGAGCGCTGGGGTAGTGGCGATCTCCAAGGTGGGTTCAGAAGGAGGAGGGCCAGGGGGAATGGAGGGTGGAGGGGGTTCGCCGGGGTGACTGGGTGCCGTGGGCTGGAGAGCTTGCGGGCGGCGGAGGAGGACGTCGAGGACGCAGTAGGGTCCGACGAATGCGTCCGGGAGAACGCGGCGGATGCTCCCGACGAAGGAGTGCCAATTGATCGCCGAGCGGTCCGCGGCAAGTTGGAGCTTGTCGACGGAGGAGGCGTCAATGGGAGGGGGAAGAGGGGGAGGAGTGGTATCCATGAGGGGCGACGGCGGGTGGACCCGCGGCGGCCTCGAGGGGGACGACGGCGGGTGGACCCGCGGCGGTCAAGGGGGAGGGGGGGGGGAGGTGCTGCTGCAGGAGGATGGAGCTCTGCTCAGGCTGCTGCTGCTGCTGCTGCTGCTGCTGCTGCTGTTGTTGCTGCTGCTGCCGCTGCTGCCGCTGCTGCCGCTGCTGCTGCTGCCGCTGCTGCCGCTGCTGCCGCTGCTGCCGCTGCTGCCGCTGCTGCTGCTGCCGCTACTGCCGGAGGGGAGGGGAGAAGGGGAAGGGGGAGGAGGCGCAGGCGGCGACGGGTGAGAGAGGCGACGACGAGGGGAGGAGGCGGTGGCGGCGGTAGAAGTGGCCGCGGCGGCGAAGGGAGGAGGCGGCGGCGGCGGAATCGGCCGCGGCGGCGACGGGAGGAGGCGGCGGCGGCGGATTCGGCCGCGGCGGCGAGGGGAGGAGGCGGCGGCGGCGAAATCGGCCGCGGCGGCGACGGGAGGAGGCGGCGGCGGCGGAATCGGCCGCGGCGGCGAGGGGAGGAGGCGGCGGCGGCGAAATCGGCCGCGGCGGCGACGGGAGGAGGCGGCGGCGGCGGAATCGGCCGCGACGGAGAGGGGAGGAGGCGGCGGCGGCGGAATCAGCCGCGGGGCGAAGGGGGGAGGCGGCGGCGGCGGAATCGGCCGCGGCGGCGAGGGGAGGAGGCGGCGGCGGCGAAATCGGCCGCGGCGGCGACGGGAGGAGGCGGCGGCGGCGGAATCGGCCGCGGCGGCGAAGGGAGGAGGCGGCGGCGGCGGAATCGGCCGTGACGGAGAGGGGAGGGGGCGGGGGCGGCGGAATCGGCCGCGGCGGCGAAGGGAGGAGGCGGCGGCGGCGGAATCAGCCGCGGCGGCGAAGGGAGGAGGCGGCAGCGGCGAAATAGCCACGACGGCGAGGGGAGGAGGCGGCGGCGGCGAAATGGCCGCGGCGGCGAGGGGAGGAGGCGGCGCGGCGGGATGGCCGCGACGGCTAGGGAAGGAGGCGGCGATGCGCTTGCTAGAGTATGCTAGGTTGAGCTAAGCGTAGAAGGGAAATTGTGGCTGTGGGGTGGGCCCATAGAAAAATAACTTGAGGGAGGGAGAGTTAAGGTTTGAGGAACAACTAGCTCTATACCATGTGAAAGATGTGAATTGAACAAGTGATTTGATTAGAGAGCAAACCTAGCATACATAGTTTGGGAAGAGAAGCTTGGAAGGGAAGGAGGAACCCAACCTATGGTTGGGTTGGCCTCACTTTGGGAAGTGAGGTAACCATAGGTGGGGTGGGTTGGGTTGCCCACACTTCTAAGAAGTGTGGCAACCCTAGGCCCACTTGGCTTGTGGTGGCCTCAATTGTGAAGTGAGGTACCCAAAAAGTCAAGAGGGTTGCAATTTGGGGGCTCCACCACAATTGGGTGGATTGGCACCCCAAAGTGCAAGGCTACACCCAATGTTGGGTGTAGTCCCAACCCAACTGTACACCACAATTGGTGTACAGTCACATGTGCTTAGCATGCTACAATATATATAATTCTAACAATGCGGGAGGCATCATGGGATTGTTGAAGAGGAGATAAAGAGATGCCAGGGCATGGCACAGTGTTCTGCATAGGAAAAACAGGGCGCCAACAAGACTCTTCCACAGCCATGAGAACGATACATAGGCTACAAAAAATCAAGAGGGCATGACACAGATTGAGGGCGTATTCAGCAAAAGCAAAGAAAGGGTAAAGACGAGAGGAGAGAAAAGAGAGGGTGAGGAAGAAGAAAGGGTGGGGAACAGAGGGTGGGGAAAAGAGGGTGGGGAGGGGAACAGAGGGTGGGGAACAAAGGGTGGGGAACAAAGGGTGGGGAACAGAGGGTGGGAAAGAGATGGTGGGGAAGAGAGGGTGAAAAGAGAGGTTGGGGAAGAAGAAAGGGTGGGGAACAGAGGGTGGGGAACAGAGGGTGGGAAAGAGAGGGTGGGGAAGAGAGGGTGAGGAGAAGCAGGAGGGAAGGAGAGCGACGGTAGGGCCGGGCGCACCCAGAAGGAGTTCTGGATGACCATGTGGTAGAGGTTGGGCACTATCTTGAGCTGCGTGGGCTGCGGCATGTCCTTGAGGAAATAGTACCTGTATTAACAGGGTGCGGGAGAGGACGCAGGGAGAAGAGGGGGGTTTTGAGTCGACTAACAGATTTAACTTGAGCTGTGTGGGTGGGTGGGGGAGAGGACGCGGAGGACATGAGAGAGGGGAGGGAGAGAGAGAGAGAGAGAGAGAGAGAGAGAGAGAGAGAGAGAGAGAGAGAGAGAGAGAGAGAGAGAGAGAGAGAGAGAGAGAGAGAGAGAGAGAGATCTGTGATGTCACAGTTACTGATCCAATTAGCACCCGTGATGAGAATGCTCTAAAGGGCGGGGCTGGGCAGCACAGGAAGCAGCAGCCAAAAAGGTCGACCTCTACAGAGACCGCCCGAACGAGGTGGAGTTTTTCCCTCTTGCCGTCGAGACGTACGGATGCCCGTGTCCGGAAGTCGTCGACTTCCTTAAACTGCTGGCGGAAAAGGCCGCTCGCCACCACTTCAATGCAGAGCCCACTTCTTACCAAGCCGCAAAATTTCTGCACCAATACCGCCAGCGATGGTCGGTGGCGCTGCAGCGTGGGCAATCCGTCGGCTACCTATCGAAGTGCAACCTGGCGGCGGCAATAGAGAATCCCCTGGTGGAGGCTCCTGGTGAGGCCCCGTCCCTCGGGGACTGCCTCACCGTCCTTGAGCCCGCCCTGGACCTCCCCTAGGTGGGGAGGGGCTAGAGGGGAGGCAGAAGGTCTAGTTCTGAGTTAGATGATTGCATGCGTGGCTTGTTTTGACTGCTTGGATGTCAGCTTATGCCTATACTCTGCATGTCTGTAATCCGCCGCCTACATCAATGAAAGGACCATTAGAGAGAGAGAGAGAGAGAGAGAGAGAGAGAGAGAGAGAGAGAGAGAGAGAGAGAGAGAGAGAGAGAGAGAGAGAGAGAGAGAGAGAGAGAGAGAGAGAGAGAGAGAGAGAGAGAGTGGGAGGAGGGACAAAAACGGAGTGGAGGATCAGCAGAACCAAACAAGGATAGTGTGAAGTCGACGTTCTGCATTGAGAATGCTTCGCATTCTTTCTGTAGAGCCGCAGGCCTTTGCAGCAAGCTAAAAACCTTAATGCGGTTAAGGCGTGCTTAAGGTGTGCTTTCCAAGATTACACTAGCTGGCTGGAATATCATCTACCATGCGTGTTCTGTCATGGCAAATTCGTGCAAGACCTGCACACCTCTTGAGACAGAAGCTGATTGCATGGTCTGCAAGAACAAGTTTACCGCTGTGCTGCATGCCATTTCCTGCACACTTCTTGAGACACCTCGACTTGAAGATCAACGTTGGTGAGACCAAACGGCATCACCATGTGATGTTCCCGTGCCCCCGCAGCGAGTACGGCAGGCAGACAGTTCCATGAACGAAAGGGGAGGTTCCTTCCCATGCCCCAATAAGGCCTGCGGCTCATTAAGCCCTGACAGTAACCTGATTGGAGGCTCCGCTTGGATATCACATTGAGCAGCTTGGGCACGGTGAGGCGCATGGAGGCATGGGGGCGCATGATGGGCATGGAGGCGCATGATGGGCATGGAGGCGCATGATGGGCATGGAGGCGCATGATGGGCATGGAGGCGCATGATGGGCATGGCGACTCACGAGTCATCAATGAGAAAGAACTCGTCGTTGGAGGCGGAGATGAGCAGCTTGGGCATGTCCATGCGGTCGATGAGTGTGTACGGGTCGATTGCCTCCTGCACATGGTGGCGTGGCAGTGAGAGAGGAGCGGACAGGAAGGTCACACATGGCGGATGCATGTTCCATGCGGGGAGAGGAAGGTCACACATGGATGCATGTTCCATGCGGGGAGAGGAAGGTCACACATGGATGCATGTTCCATGCGGGGAGAGGAAGGTCACACATGGCGTGGCATGGCATTGACTCAAATAGTTCTCCAGAGCGCATGTGGCATGGTGGTGGTCCATGCGCGTCCATGCAGTGGATGAGATGAGCGTGTACGGTTCGATCAGATCCTGCACGTGACATGTGCGTGACAGAGGGGATTAAAGGTCACACATGGCATGCCATGGCTTGGCATGGCGTGAACGCAAGGTGGCAAAGCAAGAGGAGAGTTGCATATATATATTTATATATATATATACATACGCCATATATAAATACATTTTTATTTATATATTCATATCAGACAGTCGCATGTTAGCAGCAGCAGCAGCAGCAGCAGCAGCAGCAGCAGCAGCAGCAGCAGCAGCATCTTACGGTCGCTTTGCGGTACTCCTTGGAGTGGAGGCGTTGGCTGATGTTGTACTCGGAGTTGAACTTGAGCAGAATGGGCCAGCCGCCCAGCGAGTCGTGCATGTGCTGCAGACTGGCCACCACGTTCAGCACATCGTAGCCGTACGTTATGAACGCCACCACTCGCTGATGTGGGAGGGTGGTGGGGGGAGTAAATGCATGTACTCTGAGGGAAGGGGCATGCATGTGCTGCTGAAGAGTGGGCACGACGTTCAGCGCATCGTAGCCATACGTTATGAACGCCACCACTCCCTGCACGGCATGCGGAAAAAGGGGGGAGCAGGGGGTGGGGGGAAGGGAGGGGAGGGGGATTGGGGGAAGAAGGATTTGGGGAAGGGGAGTGGATGTGGTGCTGTAGATTGGGTTCCACGTTGAGCAGGTCACGGGCGTACGTCATAAAGGCCACCACTCGTTGCATGAGACGAGGGAATGGGGGGGATGGAGGGGGGTGGGGAGAAGGGTGGGTGGGCGGGGAGGAGGAAGGGCCATGAGTGTGGTGCAGATTGGGCACCACGTTAAGATGATCATAGCCGTACATTATGAAGGCGACAACGCGCGAGAGAAAGGGGCGGGCGGAAGTGGGAGAAGTGGAAGATGGCAGAAGAAGGGGAGGATGGGTCGGGTCGGGGGAGGAGGGAAGGGATGTGCATGTGCTGCAGATTGGGCACCACGTTGAGCAGATCGCAGCCGTACGTTATGAATGCCACCACCTGCTGATGGGGGGGATGGGGAGAGATGGAGGGGATTGAGGGGAAGGGAGGGGAGGGGAAATTGCTGTGCAGTAGGTTGGGGCCTATGTTGAGCAGACTGTAGCCGTGCGTCATCAGCACATAGCGCCATGCGATATGCATGGCAGCAAATCATATGCATAGCAGCAAATCATATGCATAGCAGCAAATCATATGCATGGCAGCACACCACTCGCCGAATGAGATGAGGGGATGAGGGGGAGGTGGAAGGGGTTTGGGGAGAGGGGAGGGGTTGGAGACGGGAAGCGGCATGGATGCATTGCTTGCAGGTTCGCTTGGCTATATCATACAGCACTGTACCACACTGTACCGTGGCGTTCTCACACTCTATGTTGGCATAAACGCTGTGGAGAGAGGAAGCGTATCGCGTACAATGCGTTTTTTACTCAATATGCAAATACGCGCCGAAAACGCTGAAATACACCTGGGAAGCCCGTCGAAACAAAATAATCGAAAGATGGAAAAGAAATCGTGACAAATTGATCTGTCGCGATTAGTTACCAGGGTGTCGCGGCTGTGAAATTTGACGAGATGTGAAGTTTCAAACACCCATCAATCCCCCTCTCTGAACCACACACCACCCAACTCAACCTTCCTAACCCAACCATTTCAAACTTCAAACTCCAATCACTCACCCTCTCACTACCACACACCACCCAACTCAACCTCCCAATCCCAACCCTTCCCTCATTACGAGTTCCACCCACCTCCAGGTTTATAGCTTTCAATCAAAACTCTTCATTTCCGCATTAGTCTTTCCGCGTTAGTCTTCCACATTAGTCCTTCCCCCCTTTCTTTTCCCTTGGAAAGCTTATTTTATCCTGCCCAAAAAACGCGTATTTCGACATATTTTCAGTTCCCGCTCCTTCACGTATCGCGTGTATCCTCCAGCGTATAATACGAGAAACGCGTATTTGCCAACATAGCTCACACTATACCGCACCTTGTCACACTGTCCGTACTGTGCCTTGTCACACACACTGTACTGTACTTTGCCACACCACACTGCACCGCACCTTGTCTAGAGCTGCAGCGACGTAGGACATGCCTGCTCGCTTGCTTACTCCGATCGCCACAAACCCCTCCACCTGCAAGCCAGCCAGCAACAACAGCCAGATGACGTGTAATGGGATAGGCAATGATTGGCAGGAATGGAAAATGACGGTCAGGAATGGGAGATGGTAGGTACACTCACAACACCTTCTGAGCGAAGCACAGCTCATCGAGCGTATGGCTAGGCGATTTTCAAGGCACCTTACAAATATGACTCTTTGCAAAGAGCTATACAATAGGCATCTCGCAAAATCGCACCTTACGCATTAAATACTTTGTGAAGTGCAAACCTTTTTAGGCGCCAGCCACAAACAAGGAACATTTCAGATAGAACACTTTGTAAAAAGAGCATTTCCTTTCCTCGCTCTCTTAGCCCCACCAGCATTTGAGGCAGCAGCTCGTATGTAGCGATATAAGTTACAAACATCACAATGCCAAAAAAGAGGAGGGGGTGCTCAGAGGGTCACAGGTGGCATGCAGAGTCATGGCAAAGTCTCGATACAGTGCAAGCACTGCCGTAGCACGTGTGGAGAAACCGACTCATGGAGCACTCACCACCCGTACGTGGGGAAGCAGCAGCACTCACCACCCGTACCTGGGGAAGCAGCAGCACTCACCACCCGTACCTGGGGAAGCAGCAGCACTCACCACCCGTACCTGGGGAAGCAGCAGCACTCACCACCCGTACCTGGGGAAGCAGCAGCACTCACCACCCGTACCTGGGGAAGCAGCAGCACTCACCACCCGTACCTGGGGAAGCAGCAGCACTCACCACCCGTACCTGGGGAAGCAGCAGCACTCACCACCCGTACCTGGGGAAGCAGCAGCACTCACCACCCGTACCTGGGGAAGCAGCAGCACTCACCACCCGTACCTGGGGAAGCAGCAGCACTCACCACCCGTACCTGGGGAAGCAGCAGCACTCACCACCCGTACGTGGGGAAGCAGCAGCACTCACCACCCGTACCTGGGGAAGCAGCAGCACTCACCACCCGTACCTGGGGAAGCAGCAGCACTCACCACCCGTACCTGGGGAAGCAGCAGCACTCACCACCCGTACGTGGGGAAGCAGCAGCACTCACCACCCGTACCTGGGGAAGCAGCAGCACTCACCACCCGTACCTGGGGAAGCAGCAGCACTCACCACCCGTACCTGGGGAAGCAGCAGCACTCACCACCCGTACCTGGGGAAGCAGCAGCACTCACCACCCGTACCTGGGGAAGCAGCAGCACTCACCACCCGTACCTGGGGAAGCAGCAGCACTCACCACCCGTACCTGGGGAAGCAGCAGCACTCACCACCCGTACCTGGGGAAGCAGCAGCACTCACCACCCGTACCTGGGGAAGCAGCAGCACTCACCACCCGTACCTGGGGAAGCAGCAGCACTCACCACCCGTACCTGGGGAAGCAGCAGCACTCACCACCCGTACCTGGGGAAGCAGCAGCACTCACCACCCGTACCTGGGGAAGCAGCAGCACTCACCACCCGTACCTGGGGAAGCAGCAGCACTCACCACCCGTACCTGGGGAAGCAGCAGCACTCACCACCCGTACCTGGGGAAGCAGCAGCACTCACCACCCGTACCTGGGGAAGCAGCAGCACTCACCACCCGTTCCTGAAGAAGCAGCAGCACTCACCACCCGTACCTGGGGAAGCAGCAGCACTCACCACCCGTACCTGGGGAAGCAGCAGCACTCACCACCCGTACCTGGGGAAGCAGCAGCACTCACCACCCGTACCTGGGGAAGCAGCAGCACTCACCACCCGTACCTGGGGAAGCAGCAGCACTCACCACCCGTACCTGGGGAAGCAGCAGCACTCACCACCCGTACCTGGGGAAGCAGCAGCACTCACCACCCGTTCCTGAAGAAGCAGCATCACTCACCGGCACATGAGGCAGCAGCTCCCTGACAGCGAGCTGTGTGGCATCGAGGGCACGGATGATGGACTTGGCCATGGGCAGGGGGGTGAGCCACTCCCACTCGTCCGGATGGTCCAGGAACATGGCGATGGTGTCTGCATGTGGGTGAGGGGGGGGGGGGGGGGGGGGGGGGAATGCATGTCCACGTGCGACGGGGGACATAGAGCGATCGCCATGTGCAGAGGCGTGGGGCCATTCTCTTTTACTCGTCCTGATAGTCCAGGAACATGGCAATGGTGTCTGCATGTGTGCATGTGGGCATGGTGTACGTTGCGCGGGGTGAAGGAAAAGACTTGTATGGGCAGAGATGGAAAGACTGTCCTATTCCTGAGCCCAAATGACCATGCTGCCCATACCATGCCATGAGCAGAAATTGATGTGCATCATCCACTTACTATGTGTTCCTTCTCTATCCCACTTGCCATCCATTGATTCACCATGCTCTCTCTCCCGCTCGCAGTGCACTCGTTCACATGCTCTCTACCCCCGCCGCCATGCACCGCACGCCATGCCACCATGCATGCACTCACGGGCTGTGATCTCCTCTTCGATCAGATCAGCCCGCGCGCCAATGCCAGGAGGGCCCACTTTGAAGCTGATGGGCATCATGGGCACCTGCTGTAGCATCACACCCAGAATGCCCAGATCCACCACCATGCTGCATGCGTGGGGAGGGGAGCGTGGGGGGGAAGGAAGAAAGGAAGACAAAAGGAGGTGAAAGGTGAGAGCTGTATGGGCATCATTGGCACCTGCTGTAGCATCACACCAAGAATGCCCACATCAACCACCATGCAGCACGGCACGTGTGGGTGGACAGGGGGAGAGAGCTGTGGGTGGAGTGGGGGTAAGAGGGGAGAGAAGAAAGGAGGTAGAAGCTGAGAGCTGGCAGTCAGCATGGGCACCTGCTCTGCTGCAGCATCACGCCCGGAATGCCAAGACCCACCACCATGCTGCACGCTGCATGGGAGGGAGAGAGGGAGGGGGGGATACACATGGTTGGTTGTGGGGGAGGGAGACAGGAAGAAAGAGGTAGAAGCTGATCTGATGGTAGCGCACAGACAGAGGGGGTGTCACAGAGAGAGGGAAATATTGGCTGATGGGAATGATGGGGCACACGGAAGGGGTATCACAGTCATAGCAGACGCCTAGGGGGAATCGCCACAGCTAGTGAGTCGGCACGTGGTGAGAGCACAAGCAGTGGGTGGGTGGAGACAGTTGGAGGGCAGTGGGAGGGCAATGGGGGGCAGTGGGAGGGCAATGGGGGGCAGTGGGAAGGCAATGGGGGGCAGATTCGGCGCAGCGAGGCGGATGAAGATTTCGTCACGTCAGCCCCCAGGATCTACACGAGGTTGAGGGGGTTACTAATGAGACGACTCAGAGGTCACCACGTGGGCACTGGGCACGTACGGGGCGGCGAGGCGGATGAAGATCTCGTCAGTGCCCGGGATGTGCACCTGGTTGACGGGGTTCAGCCCTGCTCCCACGAAGAACAGCACCAGCCCCTTGTGCGCGTTGTGCATCCTGTCTGGCGCCTGGTGGCGGGGGGAGAGGGGGGAGAGGGAGGGGGGGTGGGGGGGGGGGGGGGGGGGGGGGGAGGGGGAGAGGGGAGGGGTGTGGAAGCATGCAGTGGACCGTTAAAGAACGTGGCTTGGAAAAGGGGAACACCGGCCCCTTGTGCACGTTGTGCATCCTGTCCTGTCTGGCGCCTCGCCTGATTAGGGGGGTTGGGGAAGGGGGGAGGAATGGAGGCAAGGAGTGAAGTGAGTACCTAGAGGAAAGCAGACCATTGCGAGTGCTGTGCAGTGGGGCAGCTTAAAACATGGCATGGTGGAGGAGAGGAGATGGTAGCGACCCACAACAACACCAGCACCACATCGTCCCATACCGTGAGCACCAGCACAGCACATGCGCGCACCACTTGTACACCACATGAGCAGCACCATGCCATGCCATGCCGTGCCATGCCATGCCATGCCATGCCATGCCTTGCCATGCCATGCCATGCCATGCCGTGCCATGCCATGCCGTGCCATGCCGTGCCATGCCATGCCGTGCCATGCCGTGCCATGCCGTGCCATGCCGTGCCATGCCATGCCATGCCATGCCATGCCGTGCCGTGCCATGCCATGCCATGCCATGCCATGCCATGCCATGCCATGCCATGCCTTGCCATGCCATGCCATGCCATGCCTTGCCATGCCATGCCATGCCATGCCATGCCATACACAGACGCACCATGAGAATGAGCCAGTGCCACCACTTGTATCGGTTGGTGACGGTGCGGTTGAGCCACTGGTGGGTGTACACCTTCAGCACGTACCCTGTCCACCACCCCCCGCCCTCCTTGGCTCGCATGCGGTTGCCCGTGTCCTCCCACCTGCCAGTAGCACGGCAGAGAGAGCAATGAAGGAACACCATAGGTCGGATGGGTAGCTGAGAGTGACAGCACTGTGCAGCCACCTCACCCCCCCCCTCTCCTTGGCTTGCATGCGGTTGCCCGTGTCCTCCCAGCTGCCAGTACCAGTGCAGAGAGAGCAAGGAAGGAACATCATAGGTCGGATGGGCCGCTGAGAGTGACAGCCCTGTGCAGCCACCCCCTGCCCTCCTTGGATTGCATGCGGTTGCCCGTGTCCTTCCACCTGCCAGTAGCAGGCAGGCAAGAGCATAGAGGTTCTCATGATGCAGTTACGAACGGTTTACCAATTTCATTTCTCCTGCACGCAGCAGGGCAAAGCATAACGAATCCATAGGCAGGCAAGATTGGTTGATGACCGTAACAGTGCTGCTTTGCTGTCATTTGGTTGGCTCCAGGCTGGAGGGTGACTGACCGCACGTAACCACCTCTCCAGGCTCTTTGACTCATTGTGACCACGTTGAAAACTCATTGCAGTTCCTCATCACAGTTCCGCATCGCATTGCAACGCATCCGCGGTATAAACATATCCCTCCAGCAGTGTAGCGTGACAGCTCCTCGCCATCTCGCAATCGCTTCGCAGAGAAAAAGGCAACGCAGACTACCCTACGGTATCCATTATGCCTTGCCTTCCCTGCTGCTTGCAGAGCAGGGAAGAGTGTAGAAGCCCTCATGCAGGAAGCGCGGAACGGCCCTCACAGCTGTGCCGGGCAGTGGTGGCCTGCCGTGCTCTATTCTGCTGTTGGAAAAAGGGCTTCCCAGCCGAGTGTGCGGTATCACAGGAGAGCAGGCTTGGTCGTAGCTTGAACGATGCCACGTGAGCGACGGTCAGGGCCAAGGCAAGAGGCAGAATGCGACGAGTGAGAGGCAGAATGCGACGAGTGAGAGGCAGAATGCGACGAGTGAGAGGCAGAATGCGACGAGTGAGAGGCAGAATGCGACGAGTGAGAAGCAGAATGCGACGAGTGAGAGCCGCCTGGAGACGCCTGGCGACGACCGAAGGGCTTGACGCGTGCGTACGCGATATTGCAGAGACACGATCATGCGAAGGATGCGTGTACGGAACGATAATGTATCAGCCGCCTGAACAAGGGCTATATCACCGCAAGTAACGAATGCAAGCAGCCGAAATTGACAGCCGCAGACCACATGCATCTGTGTCTGGTACCGGTTATTGCGGGCTGGGCATTACGTACAGTGTAAAGGCAGTGTAGGTCAATGGAAGTGGATGCTTACCTGAATTCCGGATCCGCGGTATAAACATATCGGTCCATAATCGTGCCATGGCAGTTCCGAGCAGTTTCGCACCCGCTCTGAGGAAACGCGGATGGATGGAAGCTCGCGGATTTTCCGGAAAAAACGGTGGCAGATCGGAGTAAAAACAAGGAAGTTAAATACACCAATACAAGGAAAACGATCAAAACTAGAACGCGGCCGATCGTAAGATGAGACCTAAAGACCGCTTGGAGAGTTCTGGTCAATCGACTAGTCCCGGTCGAGTGGAATCGCGTCATTATGACCGACCTGCTCACACTAGTTCCAAAAATGTGTGAAAGCAAACGCGGGAAGCTGCTATTCTGGCTATGCATCAGGAAAATGTCGAACTGGCCAAAAGTGGGATTCGATAACTTCGCCTAATCTCAGGGTTGGAAAGGGCCCCTGTTATTGAACGGAGCGAGTGGGAAGGGTGATGACCGTGGCGCGTGTGGTCGGACGTGCCTGAATTAGTTCTCCCCACGTAATTGTATCTTTCTCGTCGCTATTACTGTATTACCGCAACACATACGCACACACTGCCAGAAAACAAAACCGAGGACCAGATTCAGCACGAGAACTCGGATGGAGCCCTGCGAGTTCCCCGCCATCCGCCAGCCATGAGTTTTACCGAGGTGTCCTCGTTACAATGTGAACAGCGAACATCCATGCTACCCTCAAGCTCGCCCCTTGTGCTACTTGTGGCCCACGACTGGACCCTCGGCTCGGGGTTTTGGTTGCGTCGCGCTGTGTTCCCTCTGCATTGAATTGATTCACGATCATTATAACACTTTAACTTTCATCCTAAAACGTTAAATTTATTCATATCATGCCTACAGGAGCAAGCCCATCCCCATACACGCCACGCAATATTATATCAGCTAGGAGCTCCACCCACATATCTGTCGGGCCAGGCGTGCAATAGTGAAGGCAGTCTAGGATCCCCCTTTCTTCCACAAAGCCTTTGTGCGAAACTGGTCTCAAAGCTGTAGCAGTGTCCACATCCATGTACACTGCTCCCACATCATGCATCATGCCCCGAACCATCTTGTTCTGCCGAGTGAACATGTCCCAATGGAACGGCAGAATTTCTGGATTTTGGCGCTTCTTGATGGGCCCAATGTAGGTGGTGCAGTTGGCATGCCCAGGTGGGGTGTTCCTCCAGATGATCAGCGCATCGGGCAGCTTCTTGCGAAGAAATTCCAAAGCAGCCGGAACACTCCGCTCGAAATCCTTCCCTCCAATGAAATGCGCGCCTCGATTCACCACCACCACATCAGCATCCTTCAACCCAGAATACAAATGCCATGGAATGTGGTCAAACTTGGCTTCTCCAGGCGAAGTGAACCACAGGTGGTCATTCCTCACGAATTGAACCTTGAGGCCGGGACAAACACTCTCATTGAACGTGTACACTCGGCAGTAGGCATGCCTTGGGGGCTCCACCAGCCAATCATAGCACTCCTGGGGAATCGTTTCATTGACAGCCCACACGGCAGGTTTGGGAATGTGTCTGAGAAGACCGTTGAGGAAGCTGACAACCATCTGGTGCGCCAGAGAATCCCCCAGAAACAGCACGTTCAGCCCGCCTCTCCGCCCCTCCGCCTTCCTGCAAAACCTATCCCCGTCAAACTGCCTCAGCGGGCCGATCGGGCACTTCCCAGGCGGCGTTCTCCACTCGTATTTGAGCGACTCGTGCACGCTCCACCCGCCCGACGCGCCGCCCTCCATCACATACTCGTCGGCTTTTTTCGTCACGAGTCCCCCGGTTGTCTCCTGGTGCCGGTGGTCGCACAGGTTCATGGTACCGAGGTACTCCCAAGGGAGGATACGCGGCGTCGCGTTGTACGCCCACCGCCCGCGCTGACTCACGCACCGCAGCCAGCGCCGGAAGCAGGCGGCGGACTGCAGAGATTGGATCTGCGTGCCGGGAATGAGCGGCTTCTTACTGGTGGATGCCTGTGCCAGCTGTGCGGCTCTCATTCGCCGGTCGGCGGCTGTCAGAACTGCCTCCTCGACCACTTTCTCATCGGCCGTTAGTGCCTTGCCCACCACTCGAGCCAGAAACATTGCTGCTGCCTCCACTGCCCCGCTCCTCCACTCCACCACACCCTTTCCTGCACCCTCCTCTGCCCCTTTTCCTTTCCCCCCACCTGCTGCTCCTTCCACGAAGCTTCCTCGGATCACGTGGTGGTGAATCTGGCAAGCGGCTGCCAGGCTGGCGACCGAGTCAGCGATGACCGCGTCCACCTCAGCGGGCGGCGGGCGGAGCTCCAGCAGGGCGGCGCGGGGCGGCAGGAACGCGAGGTTGACGAGGAACGGGCTCGTGACGCTCACAAGCAGCGCCGCCCGCGGGAACAGATCGCGCGCATCATCCCTCTGGAACCGCCCCACCAGCCTCACATGCTCCGCGCCAAACTTCCCCTTCAGCCCCGCCACTACCCCTGCAAAGCCCTTCACCTGCACTGCTGCTGGTGGCTCCAGCACAATCACCTCCTTCACCCCACTTGTCTCCCAGGGGGGTATGGCGGCGGGGGGGGAGCGGGTCTTGGGGGAGGTGGGGGGGAGGCGCTCGGACCAGTCAGGGTTGAGGAGGGGCAGACCGCGGGGTTGCAGGAAGTGGGAGGAACGGAGCTTGGACCAGAGGGAGGGGCTGGGCTGCTGACAGTGCTGGAATGTGGGCTGCACAGCACAGGGGGGAAAGGGGTAGGGGAAAGAAGAAGGGCAGAGGGGTTTCACGAATTGGGAGGAGTGGACTTTGGTCCACAAGGAGGCGCGGGGGTCCTCCTGGCGGTGCTGGCGGTATCGGCGGTCGGTATTGGCGGTGCTGGCGGTGATGGCAGGTGAGCTGTGGGGGAGGGGGGGAAGGGATGCAAAATCAGGGGGAAGAGGAGGGGCCGAGGGGTTGAGACAAGTGTGAGGAGGGAATTTGGTCAAGAGTGAGGGGTGGGGGTGCTGGCGGTTCTGGAGAGTGGGTTGCAAGGGGGGGGACTGGTGGGGGACAATGGGGAGACGTCTCAATTGAGAAGCCTCAGAAAGAGGGGCTGGTTCGCTGGTACTGCTGGGAGGTGGGCGTGGGATGGGGGATGAGAAGCTTTTTAGAGCATGTTTGTTCCTGGCACCTCAGAAGTAAGAGTTTGGTCCACAGGGAGGGGCTGGCGTGCTGGCAATGCAGGAAAGTGGGTTAAGTGGCGGGAGTGGGGAAAGGAGGGTTAACCGGCGGAAGTGGGGAAAGGAGGCTTAACCGGCGGGAGTGGGGAAAGGAGGGTCAACAGGCGGGACTGGGGGAAGGTGGGTTAAAAGGCGGGAGTGGGGGAAGGTGGGTTAACAGGCGGGAGTGGGGGAAGGGCGAATATTCGCATGATGATGCTCCTGGGATGTTAGAACTGAATGGAATTGGGGTGGCAGAGGGGAGGCGGGAGGAAGAGGGGAGGAGGGGTGTGAAATGAGGGAAGACACGTTTGGATGGGTGAGTGGGCCGTATGAGCACATGCTTGCAGGTGTGGAGTGGGACGCACCTGGATGTGTTTGCATGAAGGGGAAAAACTGCATGCGGCTGCGGGTGTGGTGTGGTGTGGTGTGGTGTGGTGTGGTGTGGTGTGGTGTGGAGTGGTGTGGTGTGGTGTGGTGTGGTGTGGTGTGGTGTGGTGTGGTGTGGTGTGGTGTGGTGTGGCGTGGCGTGGCGTGGCATGGTGTGGTGTGGTGTGGTGTGGTGTGGTGTGGTGTGGTGTGGTGTGGTGTGGTGTGGTGTGGTGTGGTGTGGTGTGGTGTGGTGTGGAGGGGTGTGGTGTGGTGTGGAGGGGTGTGGGGGATGATGGATGGACGCACCTGGATGAGTGTGGGCATGATGGACGCACCTGGATGAGTGTTCGTACGAAGAGGAGGCGAGAGGCATCTCCAAAGGAGAGCATGCGACCCATGGTGATGCCCACCACTCGAGGCAGCTGCGAGGGACAGCATCACGTGCCACGTCACATGCCACGTCACATGCCACGTCACATGCCACGTCACATGCCACGTCACGTGCCCCATGATATGCCAACCATGTTGCAGAGATGAGCACACCATGCCACGTAATGCCATCACAGCCCATGCAAGTCAATGCATTCATTCCATGGAAACGAGAAAAGAGAAAAGAGAGCCGCTTCAAAAGAGCAATGTGGGCTCCTGGTGCTCAAAAGAGCAATGTGGGCTCCTGGTGCTCTCATGGGTTGGCTGTTCAGCCGTGGGGTTTAACACTTGGCAATGGAATCGGTAGCACCACACCCCCAGCACACGCACCTTTTGCTGCGCATGCCAAGTGCACAACAGCATACGCACACTCTTATGGGGTAACCAGCTCGGCCATGGGGTAACCAGCTCGGCCATGGGGTAACCAGCTCGGCCATGGGGTAACCAGCTCGGCCATGGGGTAACCAGCTCGGCCATGGGGTAACCAGCTCGGCCATGGGGTAACCAGCTCGGCCATGGGGTAACCAGCTCGGCCATGGGGTAACCAGCTCGGCCATGGGGTAACCAGCTCGGCCATGGGGTAACCAGCTCGGCCATGGGGTAACCAGCTCGGCCATGGGGTAACCAGCTCGGCCATGGGGTAACCAGCTCGGCCATGGGGTAACCAGCTCGGCCATGGGGTAACCAGCTCGGCCATGGGGTAACCAGCTCGGCCATGGAATTGCTATCCCCGCCAAACCAGCATACGCCCTTCTTACAGTTCATGACAAGTGCTGGCTTGCAAAATCTTTGGGCACGCGCGAAGCAGGAGCGGCACGAACAGTCCGATTGAACAAGCTTGTTTGCTGGTTTGTTATGCTTTTGTATTTTATGTGAACTTTTCCTGGGCATGACGAGTGCCTGACGTCTTGCTTGCCATGAAGTGACCGAGTAGACATCATTCTTTTGTTCTTGTTATTTTTCTTTTCCAAGAGAGTGATACACACCTTTTCTAAGGTGCTGACGAGTGATGTCTTGCCCTGCTTTTTAAGCAAGCGGGAGAGCAGCAGGAGTAGCCCAAATGCACCCCCCACACACGACTCCACTCTCCCTTTTTTATTTTATTATATTCTTTTTATGCGAGCGCACCTTCTTGCCGCGCATGACGAGGGCGGGCTTGCCGTGCTTCTTGAGCACGCGGGAGAGCGGCAGGAAGAGCGGCACGAGCTCGAGGATCTCGTGGAACGGCAGCCGCGCGCCGGGCGTGCCGCCGATCACCAGCAGGTTCACCAGCGAGTTGTAGGAGGACACTCGCGTGCCTGGCTCGTAGTGGAACTGTGTGACGGGGAGGAAGGGAGGGGCGAGCATGGGGGGTTTTGGGAAGGGGTGCGGCATGCCTCAGATGACCAGCAGGTTGACAACGTGTCTTGGGGGCACGACCCGCCCCCTCCTACCATTCCCTAGTGAACCTGCTGGTGCTTAAGAAGGGGTGGGGCGTGCCTGGCTGTGTGAAGGGGAGGAAGGGAGGGGAGAGCATGTGGGGGGTATTGTGATGGGGTGGGGCGGGGCGTGCCCCCGATGACCAGCAGGTTGAGAGGCAAGACGCGAGATGACCAGGCTCGCGATGAAACTGCAGGAGAGCCGTAGTTCACCCAATTACCGAATCGGACACCCCTTGTGCAACGCAAGCAACCAATCGGACACCCCTTCCCGCGTCCAACCCCCGCCCCTTCCCCCTTCCCCTTTTCAACCGCCCCGCCCCTTTCCCCCTTCCCCCTTTCAACCGCCCCGCCCCTCCCTGCCCCTTCCAACGACCCGCCCCTTCCTTCCCATCCACTCTCTCGCCCTTCCACCTCCAACCCCAACCCCTCCCCTTCCCTCACATTCCCCCCTTTTTCCATTCTACCCCTTTCCCTAAAACCCCATCATCCTGCCAATCCCTTCCTTTCGACCCCCTCTCCCTCCTTCCTCCCCCACCCACCCACACGCACCTTGTCTTCGGCGTAGCAGCCGTTGGGGTTGAAGACGTGAGTGGCGTTGAAAACCTGCCCCTTGTTGTTCACATACACGTCGTGCAGCGCAAACACCCGCCCCGACCACACCATTACCGGCGCTGCACCTCTTCGCCCTCTGCTCCCTCTTCTCCGCCTTCCTCCTCCTCTTCGTCCTCCTCCTCCTCCACTCCCCCGTACTCGTCGTTTTCTTCCGGCTTGGTCGTGGTGCCGTTCGCCGCGATTCGCGGGGCGAGGTCCATGTAATCCGGGTTTCGACAGACGGATATATCTTCGAAGCCCGCGTCTTCGCACATCCGGAATTCCGGGCAGAGGAGGGCCTTGGCGCACGTCGCAAACTTTCGCCGGCTGGTTACCGCTTTAAGCGCTCGCCGATCCTTTCGCGACAGAATGCTTGGAGGGGGATTAGGGTTGAGATCGACCACTTCAAGGCGCTTGCTGTCGATCGCTTTTCGCAAATCACCCGCTGATGCGTAATGCGTGCCTCGTTTTCGCCGAGATGCACCTGGTAACCAGTCGCTAGCGGAAAGCAGCTTTCGCCGGCCGCTGTCATTGATTCGTTCAGTCGTGCGAAAAACGGGAGGTGTGAAGACAAGCGACCCATTAATCGTCCTCTTGCCCGCCCACACACAAGTACCTGCCAGCCAGCACACAAATACCTGCCCTGCAATGAAAGATACGAGTAATAAAGCTGTGACTAAATGAACTATACTACATTGCAAGTGACAAGACAGTGCAGCAAGGAACGAGCAAGGTGAGTGGGACCTCAGAGTAACGACGTCACAGCAGCAGCAACACGCTCAGCCAACCAAACCACATTTGCACCAAAGGGCAGCATAATTCAAGCTATTTCTCATCACAAGCCATTCATACTGGCACAAAGTGTTGCAGCTGCGAGCAGCACACAGCCGCGCGGCACCCAGCAGCACCGCACTTGCTTGCAGAGAGTGCAGCGAGGGAAGTTAGGCGAGAGGCAGCAGCACAGAGGCACGAGAGGCGTCGACCGGGGCGAGTGGGGAGAGCGGGAGAGGGTTCTTAGAGAGAGCAGCGGTCCCATGAGAGCACGGGGGAAAGGAGGGGAGAGAGGGGAGGAAGAGGGGAGGAAGTGGGGAGGAGAAGAGCAGAGCGGAAGAGATCATAGTAAGTGGACACATGGCATGAAAACCTCTCAGAACAGAGCGTGTGGGCAGCGCACGCACGCATGGAGGTGAGCGGCGAGAGGAGACGGATAATGGATGACAGGAGAACCTTGTCTCCAAAAGGCTGCAACATCAGGCAAGCACCTGCAGTCACTCCTGTGTTACTCACTAGGAGGCAGCGCACCGGTTGTCATTCAGCCAGAGAGCACGCAGGGAGGTGAGAGGCGAGAGGAGGGAGGCCACTTGAGCAGTCAGTGAGGCGGTTGCCCTAGATGCTCGTACCTACTAGCCGCTGGTGGTGGGGATGATACGGTGGGGTACGGTAATACAGGAGCGCGTGTGAGTGTGACAGTAGCGGGGGGGGGGGGGGGGGGGGGGGGGGGGGGGGGGGGAGGGGAGGAGGGGGGGGATTCCTTAGAGTATGTACAGCGGGATGAGAAAAAACGGTGCCACTCTAGTAGCGACTGAGCCGGTTGCACCAGAGGCGGAGCCCTACTAGCCTCTGGTCGTGGTAGGGTGGTGTGTTCCTGAAGTGTGAGATGGACAGTAGCGGGGGATGATGATCACTCGGGCAACTCTCTGTCAGGCGGTTGCCTCAGAGGCTGAGCCCCACCAGGTTCTGGTGATGGGGAGGGTTATACGATCATAGGCAAGGGCGATACAGGGAGAGGTGTGTGCGTGTGACAGTAACGCGGAAAGGAGTTGAGTCGGCAGTGCAGAAAGGGGATGAGAGAAGAGGACCGGGAGTGTGAGGGTAAGAACGAGGCAAAAAGTGCAAGGACAGATTCTCTGGTTGTGGCCAATCTTCAAAGGTTGAAAAGCGGTTTATGCAGACCACGAAATTAGAAGCGGCGGTTAAATAGTACTAGTACCTATTTTAGGGTTAACCGCTGAAGCATTCAAACCCCCCTGGATTGAAGCAGTCGCAGAATCGTAGCCATTCGCGAAGGTCGTCTTGCAGGCCCGCCGGGAACAGCGCGGCGGCATGCACGTCAGGCCATTGATCCGCCACATCATCTTCCACACATGCACCGCTACTACCGCTTGGCAGCAGCAAGCCGCGAGAATTGCGAGAAGCCTTCCACGAAAGCGGCTCTTTTCCGTGGCACGACCGGCGAACGTGCCGACTATTTCACCCGGATCGCACGGGCCGAACAAATCGGCGAGGCGAACCCGGCTCGCACGCCTCGCCGCGAGCGCTTTTCTTGCCGCCTCTGCTCCTGAAACCGCCGACGATAAGGATCAGAACGCCGCCTGGAGAAAAACAACGGGAGAAGCGTAGTACTAGAGGTCTTAGAACGATCTAAACAAAGAAACGGTTTAGGTGTAGTAAAATAAACGATCGCTAGTGGCGACAGGAGGAAGGAAACACCACATGAGCGCGAATATCATACTGGTGCACTGGTCGGTAAGAACGTACTACTATTGCTACTACGCGCTGGTGCTACTACTAAGGGCGCCTTGCTTTCGGAAACCTAATTTTCTAGTGCACGAATCGGTGGCGGAATGGTGTGGATAGCTGTGTGCCTTGGGAGGAACGGATACAACAGTGCCGTACAGCTCGCGAAACTGCCAAACCTTTTCACACACAGGTAACCGACCCAACAGTCTAAACCCACTGGTTTAGCTTTACGGAGCACGGCCCAATCGACAAGCCCACGCGCAACGAACTGTTTCAACCCTTGCGACCGTGCCGTGCGCAGTGACGAAATAAGCTAGCGAACGTTACTGGAAAATATAAAACAGGCAGGCGACCCACAGTTCATGCGATACTGGACACTTCCAGCAGGTAACCCGGTTTACTTTTGAACTGTAGTGCACTGTATGGAACCTGGCATCGGATCTTGGCAGGCAGCGCTGGCT